TCCTTTTCCTACTTGGAACCAGTCTGTTGTTCCATGTCCAGTTCTAACTGTTGCTTCTAGACCTGCATCCAGATTTCTCAGGAGGCAGGTCAGGTGGTGTGGTATTCCCATCTCTTGAAGAATTTTTCAGAGTTTGTTGTGAGCCACACAGTTAAAGTCTTTGGTACAGTCAATAAAGCAGAAGTAGATGTTTTTCCTAGGCATTGTAGCCATTATGCTAGGAAATTGCTGGGAAAATGGTAGGAAACTTGTTTCTTTTAGTCTTCTTTGGCATTTTTTAGGATTTGGAGAATGGTCTACCCAGGTGTTCTCTATATCTGTGATGATTTGTTTCCATTACAGAAAGAAGATAGTGGCTTATCTGGTTTTTCTCCTTTCCTACCAATAATCCTGCCAGGGATACACATTGGATAGGAGTGACCTCGTTTCTCACATCCATTTTGCCTTGACCTCCCCACTGAGACTTCTGGGGGTATTGCACTCACTTTGGAGCTCTTTGGGGTGTGAGTTATTTCTCCAAATAGTCAATATATATCTTTTGGAGCTGCTGGAAGAAAGACTTTTTCCTGAAAGCTTTTTGTCTTTACTATTGATTTAGTACTGGAACCATTTAAAAATTAACCCTGCTGTTTTCATCCTAGTGTATGGAAGAAACACAATCATCCAGCAATAACCTCTTCAACATTTTGAGTGTATGTAGTTATCCTGTTGGTCTGCCTAATATTCTGAAGAAATGGATTCCTTGGCATAAGTTACTGGGAAAATGACAAATATTTTAATGAAAATAATTGGTTGATCTTAATCTATTTATGTTATTTGGAATTATTGTTCCTGACTTTTATTTATGAATATAACATGAGAACCAGGTAGTTTTGTGAGATTTGAATTCAGTTCATAGTTATTGATTGTTGCTAACCCTCAAGGGTAGGCTTTGGAGAATTACTCACACTGTTTAGGGCTAGGGTCTGCCTAGCACTTAAGCAAGAACTTAGGTTGAAGTAAATTGAGCTATGTAAATACAGGGTAGGGAAGATTCACCCTCATAATTATTTTGAGTCAAAATACTTGATTCAAAATAATTTTGAGTCAAAGGACTTGCTGTGTTAGATATCTGTAAGTCATTGTCAATGTTAGGATACACTCAGTTGTGCACAGTGCAAAGGAGGCATTTTTATTCCTGGATGCTATATTTAGGGGGGAAGCTGATCTATTTTACCATACCTGAAGCATGGTGACCCAAGCTGGGGAAGAATCTGGAAAGAATGGTGAGACCCCATCTTTGACCAGGAAGGCCTCTTATTTTGGATGGAAGCAAGAGTATAAAAGATTGAGCTGGAAATTCTTGGTCTAAAAGAGAAAGCTTTGTAGTGAGTATTATTGCTATTTTCAAATGTTTGAAGGAAGAACAAGTTTTTCTGGGAGCCAGGACAGTTCACTGGAACAGCACACTTGGCTGAGGTGCCAGGCTAAGGGGAGAAATTCTGCTCATGAAATCTGACTGGTGACTTTATTGCCTATATGTCTGGTCCTTCCCACAAACTCCCAGGAAGACCCTAAAGCACTTGAGGGCTGAAGAGAGGACTGGTATGGGTGAGGGCTCCCTGAACAGTGGCTGACTAATGCTTTTGGTGTCCTCTCTTCCTCTGAAAGCACCACATGGCTCTTAACTCACTTGCTCACAGCATCAGACTTTGGCTTCTTGACCATGATTAGTTGGCTGGGGCATAAAGCAACACCTGGTGTACTAAATCACAGTGCTGCTTAACTCTTAATGTGTGTGTGAATCATTTGTGAGTCTTTTTAAAGTGCAGATTCTGATTCAAGTGTGTCTTGTTTGGGGCCCTATAATCTGAATTTCCATAAACGATGCTGCTGCTGGTCAGTGGACCGTACTTGAGTAACAAGTGTGTGTGTAAGTCGCTCAGTTGTGTCTAACTCTTTGCAACCCCATGGACTGTAACCCACCAGGCTCCTCTGTCCATGGGATTCTCCAGTCAAGAATACTGGAGTGAGTAGGCATTCCAGGGAATCTTCCCAACCAAGGGATTGAAGCCAGGTCTCCCACACTGCAGGCAAGTTCTTTATCATCTCTGAGTCGCCAGAGAAGCAGGCTCTACTATAAATCTACAGTCTGCCCTTTGGGCTAACATCAAGTGCTCTCAGGCCAAATGACTGCCTCCTCCATGTTGCTTTCAGGACTAAGCCTCACACCAGTATTAGCAGAGGATTACTGCCCGCAAGTACTGACTTTCTCTCTTCTCAGTACTCATGAAACAGTTTTAGTTAGGTATCACTTAGCTATCTGATTTCTTTGTCATCTCTAGGATGACTTTTCCAGTTATCTATGAATAACTTTTATTTTCCCTTTTTAATTGCATAAGAGCATTCTTAGGCCACAGGATTTGGCCCTGTCTGCAGGCTTGAAATGCTGGGGAATTACTGTCATGTGCGAATAGTTTTCAACTCTAACTTTTTTTTTTTTTTAAACATAGCATCTTGACTTTCATCCGGGTTGTTTGAGATATAGTAGTTCTTGCATATATACATGATGCTGTCAGATGTCCCATGACACAAGTAACCATTTGTGTAATATTAGGGCACATTTTTTAACTGTATGTTTGTGATTACCCCAAGGTATCCACTTACTCCAATTCATTGCAAAATGATCTTTAAAAGATATGTTTATAATACACTGAGCATTTGCTCCCTGAAGCAATGATGATTAAATCTGGTTAAATATATATGCCTCCTTTTTTGTTTATTATGATTCAAGTTACCATGAATATTTTTGATTGTCATTGATTGAGGTGCCTTCAAGGTCACGTTCCTTCCCCCAGGAGTAGCTTGTTGGTCAAAGTAAAGTGATTGAAAGAGTTCCTATTATGTGTTAATTTTGGTAAGTTCTTAAGTACCAAGTTATGCTGCTTTTCTATACAGGAGCTGTGTGGTCTTGGACAAGGTATTTTAATATCTCTGATCATCTGTGAGCTCATCTGTAAAATAGTGATAATCGTACTTAGCTTGAAGAAATTAAGTGAGATATTTATGAAAGCCCATTTCTAGAATGCCATATTTAATCATGAAATGATAGCTTCAACTTTCCTTTGTTTACCATTTGCCAATTTCTGGCTTTTTTGAGGGGAGGGGCATACATTTGATTTCTTTTCCCACTATTCTGTAAGTGGGAAATCTTAGAACAGGATCTGTATTTTAAATCCTATCTTAGCTCTTCAATATGTGTTCAGCCCTGACACCCTGAGTAAATTAATGAACGACTTGATAATCTCTAAGATTTTCCTGACCTTTTAAGTCCTCTGATTGTTTGATTCTTCCAGTATTCTGGGTGCCTAGAAAAAAATTGGAGAATTCTCTTAAAATGAATGTCTTGTACGTTAAGGAATTTCCTCCTTAACAGGCTTAAAAATATATATATATTATATTATTACTAGTAAGTATTTACCTGGGCCCAGGAGATGGCTGCAATAGTGTAAATAACCTTTTCTATGTATGATCTTGAGTCTAATTCTTTGTATAGTCCACATGAGGTGGGTCAGAGGCTGGTCTTGACTTTGCTTTTCCTGCAGTGTTATCTCGGGAAGATCTGTGTGAAAGATGAGCAAGAAATGTGCATTTGTTTTCATATGTGATGTGAGATTTGGAAGTCATGGATAATAGAAGCTGAGATTCATGATGTATTTATCTCAGTGCTCATGGAGGATGCATTTTATGTTCTGGATTGAATATGCTTGGGTTAGTGGGGTCAGGCCAGCTCAGTGGATTAAAGCAGAAACAGTAGGTCCTTCCACATCTTGAGATTGAACATGGTTACCTATTTAGGCAAGTAGTTCTTGAATTGCCTGTGTGAATAAGCTGCTGGGAGACAGTGCTAGTTGAGGCCATCTTTACCACTTTGTCTCTATGCCTCTGAGATGAGGCCTAACTGGTAGATAGTACATGGATTGTCACATCTAGCTCTGAGTTTAAAATCTGGCTTGGGTATGTTACTTAATTCCAGATAGTACATGGATTGTCACATCTAGCTCTGAGTTGAAAATCTGGCATGGGTATGTTACTCAATTCCAGAATCCCAGTGTTTTTTTTTTTAAAGATACTCAGAAGGTATCAGTCTTCCAGGTTTTTGTGAGTGATGGATTAGTATATGTCAGAGGCCCAGTGCTGTGCCTGGCAGTGAGATTGGACCCTGTGGTGATGATGGTCACGGTGACACATTTCAGAAGGGACACATAGGAAACTACACAGTTCTGCCCCCATGAAAGTATCAGCCCTGGTGGGTGACTGAGGAGTGTCCCAAAGTTGCCTGCTGCCTTTTATGGCTAGTGTGCTGACTGCAGAGGAGGTGCTGAGTGTTTCACGGATCTAGAAAAAGAAGGTAACAATCTGCAAAAAGAAAAGGTCAATCACATGTTTCATTCCATGACATTTGGAAATATTAACACGTAATGCGAGTAGCTTCAAACGTTCCTTCCTTATTGGTTATGTAGGAATTGTTCACTTATAGTGTCTTATCCAGGGGGAAGTAAAAACAGCAACAACAGAAACCTTATTCATCTCTTCTGTGATAGTTTGTTTCCATCCCTGATAGTTCATGTGACTTTTATTTTCCTTTAATTCTTGAAAAAGTAGAAGTGGCAGTGATAAACATCGATAGACCCACTCCATGCAAATGGCCTTTAGTGGACAAGAGAAAGGTGACCTGAATTATATTTAAGTGACGCTGCACTGAGTCTGCCAATTAGCTTGTCAGCTGTCACTCACAGTGCATTTGTCAGTCACCTTATCAGGCTTTCAGGCTGTCGCTGTGAGGACTCTTGGACGGAAGATGAATTGGGTTCCATGTTGTACTAATTGTGGGTTGTGTTTCTTTGCATCATGTTGAGTTAATTTTAGATTCTGGGAATCCTGGTAGGAAGTCAGGAGGATTGATGAAGGCTGTGATACCCAGAAGTAAAACAAAACACATTTTTGTTCTTTATACACAGCTATTTTGAACTGGAGAGCAGTGGTCTGAGGGATGAGATTCGCTATCACTACATACACAACGGGAAGCCCCGGACAGAGGCGCTTCCGTACCGGATGGCTGATGGGCAGTGGCACAGGGTTGCACTGTCGGTCAGCGCCTCCCATCTCCTGCTCCACATCGACTGCAACAGGTATGTCTTTGTCTTTGATCTTCTGTGATTGTGCCCTTGAAATCGAGCAATGGAGAAGGGAAAAAACCAATCCCCTCCAAGCCTTGCTGGGAAACAAAAACCAAGGGACCCTAGGAGTCATTTAACATACCGAATGGGCCGTTAGGTGTGCCGGAATGACCAACTGTAATATGCTAAGAAAACAGTCCATTAAAATGAAGCCATATGCGGTGATTAGGAAGAGATGTACGAAAGGTTGATTACAGATGGGGGACTATTAAGTACACCTCCGTGTACTGTAGGTACCGGCTGGAATTCCATGGAGCTGTGATTACAGTTAACTGTGATGTATTGTTGTTGAGTCCGTTCCACTTGGAAGCAAATGAGCTGGTCTACCTTCAAATGAATCCGAGAAGCTGGTGCTACTGGAGCGGCTAATTCTATTTCACTTCATCAAGCACAGCTTTGCTTAAATATTTTTTCCAAATGGAAACTTCTTAAAGGGGCTGTTCTTGGAATCTTTTTGGAATTGATGCCATTTATCCTCTGCAGAGGGATGAGTGTTCTGGTTTATCAGAGGGTGGCAGGACTACTTTGAAGACGGGGGTGGGGGGGGGTGAGAGCGGGAAGGGAGAGTTTCATTGGATGCTGTGGGTTGGGGTGGGAAGGAGATATCTTCCTCCATGTCTGTCCCTAGGGGGAGGTTTACTGCCAGCTGAAGAAAGGACACTACTGGTCTCTATTGGTTCACATGTGGCTGGACAGCTGGATGATGGTGGTTGAAGGGGGATGTTTTCATCTCCAGAACTCACTGAAAGTCTTTATGAATAGTGATCTGAGTCCTATTATAGAGAATCTTTTGTGATGCAAAGTAGCCATGAATGGTTGGTCTTCATTAATATTACTGCCAAAGTTAAATGATTGTTTGGCCACAGGACTTGTTCTTTTAGGCCCTGGAAAAAGTATACGCATGTTGAGGACAGCCTCCATTCTGGCACCCAGTAGAAAGAGGCTCCAGACTGCATTTCTGATGAGGGAATACTTTGGTGTGCTGGCTATTCTGGCTCTGCAGTCTCTCTTAGGAGAGGACCTGGAAAGGCAGAGAACAGAAACTAGTGTCAGGTTTAAGGGAACTTCCACCATCTTGAAGTGAGTCTTGGGTTAGCTTGGTCTATCTATTTAAAGTACTTTCTGGGTTTTCTGGAGAATTGTGGCTTCAACTAGATGTAATGTGTGCCTGGATGACATTTCCATAGAAACAAGTAGCTCCTTTAACCTTGGGCTGGGCAGCATGGATGAAACCAGCTGTCAGCCACTAGTTCCATTCCCACCTTCAGGAACTCACTGGCTCTTTTAATTCTCTAGAACTAAAGAGGCCTGTCAGGTAGCATTTCTGCTTCACCCTACCCACCACCCATATTTTACTCAAATGGGAAATAAGAAGAGTCCTGTGTATCCTTCTTTATCACAGGTAAGGAAGAAATGTTGAAGCTCTAGTTTAGTACTTCCCAACTGAAACATCCTGGAGACACTGCTGTTTTCTTGCTCTGCAATTATTTGCTTCCTCTTTGTGTAAGTTTTATCTTTTATTTCCCAGTAGTCTTCTCTCTAGAGAAGAGGAAAGAGAGGGAGGATAGTTTGTGCTAATTGAAGATTCTCTGCCTTCACAAATGCTCTGGTCCCTATGAAATTGTCTCCTCTGCCATCCTCAGACACTTGTTAGCTGTGTGAATTTGGACACATGAATTCCTTTGCATCTCAGTATAATTTGTAAACTGGGACTGTCAGTACTGTATGTGCTGTTACACATATTCACAGATGGGAATGTTAAGTAAGATAATTTGCATCAAGTGCTTTGGGTGGTGCTTGGCCTTTGGCACTCAGTACATAGTGGTGGTGGTTGTTACTTTATTATTATTTATTCTGCACATCTGTGGTGACCCTGGGTCTCCAGACTTTCATTTGTCATGTATTCTGGCCTCTCTGCCATGAAAATAGGGAGAGGACAGGAGAGCTGGAACCCAGAGTATGCTTTAGGGTCAGCTGCATTTATACAGAATGGATTTGAGGAGGTTCTAAATACTAGTCCCCTTCTCTGGTGGTTTGTTTTTTATACTTTGATTCATAGCATAACTTATTTTCCTTTCTTTAAGATCTTGGAGGGAAAACATAAAGTTGGTGCCAGTTAATGATTCATGGACCCAGTGCAAATGAGGTTTTTAGATAGGTTACGGAAAGAGAAGCTGGGAATGACTGGGCCAGAAGAGAGGTCAATTTTGATTTTTGTGTAGGAAAAGTCTAGAAACAGTTACAAAACCTGACTATACTTAAGAATTACGGATAACCAGGAGCCATCTCTGACCTGGTGAATCAGATTCTCTGAGTATGGAACTATATTCTTCATAAACTCTTAGGGTAGTTCTTATGCAAGCAGTTAGCCTTGGTGCATGGGCTGGCATTTGAACACCACTGGCTTAAACAGAGGGAGTACTTGTGGTTTCCCCAAATGTGGGAAACTTGACTGTATAATTTGTGGCAGTGGGGAACTGCATTTGTGCTTTCCCTTGAGAAAAAAAAGAAAGAGGGAGCAGAAACTGGAGGATAGCCTGGGCTGCAATAAATAAGTGAGGGACTCTGGAAATGCAAGTGCCTGAGAAGTACAGCCCCAGTGAGGAGGAAGAAAAGTTTAAGGTGAGGATAGTGTCTAGTATGTGGAACAAACTTTTCTTCTGCAAAAGTTTCTTGCTAGCCAGCACTGGCCGATTTTTAAAATGGCAGAAGCTCTGGGCTATTTATCAAGATGCTGGTCTCCTATGTCTTATCTAGGCCACCCTTACAGAGAGTGAATTTCAGAAAGGCTGATTTTTATTTTCTAAGCTATGCATTTCATACCGCTGTGAGATTCTTCCTTTTTGATTCCTTTTGCCCTTAAAGTTATGCTTCCTTATTTTTCTCAACCTGTCACCTGCTAGAGCAGTGCTGGATAGAAGATAAATGGTGATGCAATAGATAACATTTTTGGATGTTGACTGTGCTAGTGACTATGCTAAGGGCTTTATATAGATTAATTTATCACTCTGGCTATTATTTTTCTCGTCTAAAAGTGATGGAACTGAAGTTACATTCTATTTCTGTAACCCTCTGCTGTTAAGAGGCAGCTCTAGGATTTGGACCGGAGTCTGATGTCTGTGTGTCTGCTCTAACCACTAGGCTCTTCAGCTCAACGTGAGGGACTGTTGGCACTGGACTTAGAACATGATGGAAGGAAAGAGCCAGACTCAGTGTGGGCAGTTTGTTCTTTACTTCTACTTTTTTCCTCTCACGTGTCTTATATTGCTGATCTTCAGGGTTGGTGGGCAAGATGGGATCTTACACAACCCATTGGTTTGGCACAAGGAAAGGGACTTCTGCCTACTGGGCTTATAGGCCAGGTAACGTGCTAGGTGTGATCGGTGTAATAGTCCTCGGGGAAGCCATATGGTGTGGAGGCAATTTTATTAGACCGATTTGGAAGTAGAAAGGCTCCAAGATGGTTAAGTAACTCAGTTCCAATCACATAACATAACCATGGAGCTAAAACTCTGAACCAGGATCTAACTCCCCAACCTTTCCTGCCTACCTCTTGCTCTCTGCCTCTGAAATTCATATCCTTTCCAAGATAAAGTCATAACCACTCCATGAAGTCTTCCCAGGAGAGAGAAGCTACAAAAATGTCAGGAGCCCTAAAAATACTTGAAATCAGAGTGAGAAGATTTCCAGGTAGTTCCATTGTTCTGAGGAACTGGAATGTGGCAGAAATTTCTCCTTTTCTTAGAATTGAGAAACAGAACCTTTTCAGACCTAATTACACAAATTGTCACAAGAAAAGTGACTGCTATTTCGGTTGGTAGTCTTAACATTTTCTGCCTGTTACTGAGACACACTTTTCTTCCTGCTTCAGCTGTTTGGCTGGGCCTACTTAGAAACTCCCAAAGTGTGGGTAGCAGATTACCTCAAGCTCGAAATATTAAAGGAACCACTCAGTTGGGTGGCCAGCCTGATTATCTCCACTGCCTTAGGTTTTTCTTTCGCTTCCTTTGTATTAAGAGTTGTCAACAAAGCTGAGAAGGAGGCCTGAACTAACATTCCTCTGATTACCCTGCTCCATCCTCAGCTCACCCTGAAGCCTGTTCCAGTCACTCAAAGACCACAATCCCCTGACATCTGGGATCCAGTGAGTAAGGGTTCTTTTACCACAAAAGGGATTTTCTTTCCTCCTCTTTATTTGGTTTCCATTGTTCTGAGGAACTGGAATGTGGCAGAAATTTCTCCTTTTCTTAGAATTGAGAAACAGAACCTTTTCAGACCTAATTACACAAATTGTCACAAGAAAAGTGACTGCTATTTCGGTTGGTAGTCTTAACATTTTCTGCCTGTTACTGAGACACACTTTTCTTCCTGCTTCAGCTGTTTGGCTGGGCCTACTTAGAAACTCCCAAAGTGTGGGTAGCAGATTACCTCAAGCTCGAAATATTAAAGGAACCACTCAGTTGGGTGGCCAGCCTGATTATCTCCACTGCCTTAGGTTTTTCTTTCGCTTCCTTTGTATTGAGAGTTGTCAACAAAGCTGAGAAGGAGGCCTGAACTAACATTCCTCTGATTACCCTGCTCCATCCTCAGCTCACCCTGAAGCCTGTTCCAGTCACTCAAAGACCACAATCCCCTGACATCTGGGATCCAGTGAGTAAGGGTTCTTTTACCACAAAAGGGATTTTCTTTCCTCCTCTTTATTTGGTAACTTCTAATTTTCAATCTATCCAATTAAAGTACTGGGCATACTGTCTCTGCCGGGCTGTGGGGATACAAAGAAATAGGAGTTATTGCCGTCAGGAAGTCCTTGGCTTATTCATTCAGTCCTTTTGAATTCTGAAGCCACCAGCGTCCCCCACAGTGACTGGCCCTGATCCTTGGATGCTAGAAGAACCGTGGACTCTCATGGGAGCCTGTGAGCAGGCTGTTTAAACACTAATGATAGCAGCTAA